TTTAAATAAAATGAAGATAATATTAAATTAAGATCCAGGTATTCGTTTTGGTTTCACATAGGAATAACTAAGTTATATTAAGTATAAATATAATTAATATTTTGGGTATATAATTATATTTTGGGTATTCAATCGTTATTCGGTTTGGATTCGGATTCAGTTCCGGTGCTTCGGATATAGGAATCTAAGATCCGTTCGAGTATTTCATCGGTTTTGAGATCAGTTTGGTTCTCATTTTTTCGGATCGGTTCCGGTTTGGGTTATTGTTTCTAGTTTTTTTTTTTTTTGTCAAGGCCTAATGACTGCTTTTGAATTAGTCTCAATATTCTGTTTTCAATTTGTTACAATATAGTGCTTTTGAATTGGTCTAAGTACTCTATTTTCAATTTTCAATGAAGAAGATTTTTGGTATTATATATAAATGCATACAGTAACAAGGGAATTTTAAGAAAGAGGGTTATAATCATGATTTGAAACATTTACTTTACAAAAACAAAGAAATCTAACTACAAATAAAAATCAAACCAAAAAATTTAACGAATGCGGCCAGACTCATTAGCTTATAACAAACAAAAACGTTATACCCTTCTATAGCTATTTAAGACGAACATTTTGTCACTGATTAATACCAATTATAATTACTAACAAGTCACTACAATGTCACAAACTCTCACTCGTTGAAACGTAAACAAATTCGTACCAATTTTTCACATTGTCACATTTGCTACGTTTACAACTTCGTCACTAATTGTGACAATATTCGTTCATGGTTTATTTGTCACAACATTGTGACAAACCTACTACAAATTTGTGACTTATAAAAATAGTCACAAAATCATAACAAAAATGTCACTCATAAATCTTTTTCGTCTTAGAATACGGCATAATAACTCAATTTTGTTTGTAATATATATTACAAACAAAATTGAGTTATTATGCCGTATTCTAAGACGAAAAAGATTTATGAGTGACATTTTTGTTATATATATATATCTATATATAATTGTTAATTGTTGAAAAATTAAATCCATTTTGACAACTTTATTTAGTGTAAAAGATTAAAGACAACATCATTGTCAAGCCTGCACCTTGGAGGCTAGTTTTCCTCATACAGTTACCTGTGGGATGTGAATTGAATAAGGGCTCACTACACTCTTTATTAGCAACACATACTAAAGAGAACTAAGCTTTCTATTATGCAACCTAATTCACTATCGAAAACTTCTTACCGAAAGAAATAAAGTATGTAATTTTTGTTAAAGAGGAAAAAAACTTAAACATCGCTTATGTAGTTATATTGAAACAAATAAAGTATGTACTTAAGCCTCCTAAATTATTAAAGCCACATGGATGAATTTTAACAAAAAGCTAAATACCGAATTTTTAAGAAGTCAATACAAAATTAGAATAGTTTTAAGTTGGGTTTTGTGCAAAAAAAAAATCCTCCAACTCACCAATTTTTGCAACTTTACTCTTTACCTCCAAAAAATGCAGAATAATCCTATGAAGTCAAAAATAATACGCTATATAATTCTAATACGTATATTGTAAACGTTTTCACGGTCACATACATTAGATTTTTAAAATTTTAAAGGTAGAATTGAACTCTTCGTCGTAGTGGCTTCAATTTAACATATAATTCATCAAATTTTTACAAACTTGACGGTAGCAAAAAAGTGATACATTACGTATTATTTTTGACTTTGTATGATTAATTTATATTTTGGAGATAGTGGGTAAAGTTGCAAAAATTGAAGACTTTGAAAGTTTTTTTGCACAAAATTTTAGCTATAAAAGTGTATATCTCATTATAATCCAAATCAATTTCCCACACAAAAGTAGTGATTAAATGTTTGATTCATTAAATTTATAATTTAACAAAATAAAACTTATATGGGCTTAAGAGGGCTAACCGTTTCTTATCATACAAACCTATTTAGTATATGGGCCTAAACGGATCAGGTTGTTAAATATTTGTTTATAATATATACTAAGTTTTGAACCCACACTACGTGTGAGTTTGTTCTATATATTTTGGTGAAATATAACGATTAATGATATCCACGCTACATGTGGGTTGTTATAATATTTTGGTGAAATATATCGATTAATGATAGTTGTCAAAATAGCATTTTTATATATTAGTGTTGGTAATAATATACATCCAATATATAAAAGAACTTGTAGAGTTTTACTTTTGAAAATATCTATTGAAACGAAATTTTTTTATTTCAAATATAAAATGTAGAAAATATTGACTAAAACATTAGTTGGTATTTACTTGACATTTGAGGACACATCGCATAAAGTAAAATGGTTTCATTGCCTACTTTTGTGCCATGATAAATGGTTCCCAATCAAATTGGTGAATCTTGTAAAATTCTAGAGACACTTAATTGATAAAACTAAAACTTAAAACTCCAAACATATTAAAAATTACCAAAAAAAAACTTTTATATTTTTAGCACATCATCTCACAATACAAAGTAAAGTATTCACTATGCTTCCTTACAAAAGTCTTTTGTACTTCTTTTGATTGACAAATAGTGGTATTTTTTTGTTCGTGCAACTTCATGAACTTAGGTTTGGTTCAACTTTTCTAATCCGAATAAAACATTCTTTAGCTTTTAACCACAACCATAGACATACCATTTTTACTTTTAAGAGAGAAAATATTTAATTTTTACTTTAGATATGTATTATTCTTAGTAATCAAATGTGACTATAAAGATAATAAGATCATATCAACAATATCATAATAAAATTATTAATACACCCACACCCCCACACCCCCACACACACATACACAGAGAACTATATTGTCATCTCTGTTCCATTTATCTATATTTTTTTTCTGACTTTCTTCCCAAAATCTTAACCGATAACATCTTCTTTTGTATTTTTCTTCTCTTTTCACTTCAATGTTTAGATGGTATTCATATACATGTAATGTTCATTATCATCTCAACAATTTTTAGTGATTTGCAATCATATCAAAGTGCTTTTATATCTCTTAAAGAAAATCTTTTAATTAGTCAACACAATATTTATAGATATAGATACCGAAACGTAATTGGTTCTTCTTTTCCATGCACATAATTCACCTAAACTTTTTCAAAATATTCATAATAATTAAGAACAAATATGTTTTTGAGTTTTTTTTTTTTTGCCTAAAACATAAAATTTTGACTGTGTATGCCATTTTATCATTGATTTTGTTTCATATTTTACCAATTAATTATCTTACTCATCTTTACTATATATCTAAATTTTTTTAATCTACACATGTAAATTTGTTTTAAAGATTTTCGTGATTAAATTCATTCAATATTCTAATACAATTTATTACATCTACTTTCTTTTCACTAAATTATGTAACTTTATTCCAAATATTTTAGTGACTAAACTCATTCAGTATTCTAATACAAAACCATAAACATGAAAATAATCGATCGACAATAGAAGTTTTATCTAAAACTCTTTAAACAATAATATATATCCAATTGAAACTTTTTCTTACATGGAAAAATAATCAAATGGGCTTGTATCTTTACAAATATATGTATATCTTGCTTGACAACATAGATGTGAACAATCTTTAAAAAATTAGTGAGACTAAATTGGATTATTTTTATGTATTCCAACAACAATAATTTTTATTTCTCTTTTCTTCCATATATTGTTTTTCTTTCTCTTTTTTCAGAAATATTTGTTTTATCCAATTACTAGTATAGAAAATATTAAATTAATAAATTGATGGGAAGGCTTATATTTTTTATGATTAAGTAAAAACTTATATTTAGAAATTTCTTCATATTTTTGATATTTTGTTTATAAATTTAATAAATTTTAAAAAGAAAAATTTACATTTTGATTATTTATTTTATATATTTTCATCAAAAATTATATTTAGAAAATTTTCATATTTCTAAATAATTCTCTTATTTCAATATGTAGTTTTTTCATTTATACAAAAATCTTAATATAAAAATTATTAAAATCTCAAAATATTAAGTAGTGAAATGGCGAATCCCTATTTATCGTTTAAATCCAATATGCATGACCTCAAAAGTTTATAGCTTTGGCTTTTATATATTTTCAACCAGTGGCGGAGGCAGGGCTTTGATAGGGGGGTCAGTTGACCCTCATAAATTTTCAAAAATCCATTATATGTCATTAGCAATAATTCTAATGACCCCAATCTTATTATATAAAGTATGATTTTCAAAGTTAATAACTCATAGGATCGTGACACGTATCAACTTTATCGATCTCAGATTTTGACACGTGTTCAATAATAATATAAGAGGATAATTGTAAGAAATTATAAATTTGAAAAATTTTAAAAATGTAAAAAGATCATTACAACGAAACTATACTTATATATCCTACATAAAAAATTAAAAATGTAAAAAAAAAAATTATAAGGAAACAATAGATATTTCTTACTATATGAAAATAGAATTTATAAAATCATTTCCTTATTCTAATTTAAAGTTACTACTAATATAAAAGAAAAAATATCACTTTTGCCTTCAAAATTAAAAAGAGATTTAAAAAATTATACAATTATTTAATAAAATACGATAATTAAGGAAATTACACAATCAATTATTAATCCTAAGAAAAAAGATTTTAAATACTCACCACTATATAAACAAACAGATAGTATCATATTTTCTCATCAAACAAAATATTTCTACAAAAACACCACCATTGCTTTAACTTCATTCTAATGATAAAACTTTTTTTTGAAGAAAATTTATTAGGCCTGGGCAAACGGTTTTTTCGGTTTATTCGGTTTATTCGGTTCGGTATATTCAGTTTTTCGGGTTATTCGGTTATCAAAAATTCTGCCGAATTGAACCGAATAAAAGTTCGGTTCGGTTTGGTTCTCGTTTTTTCGGTTCGGTTATGGAAACTAAAATCAATTCCGTAGTAAACGGAATTTTTTCTAATTCGGTTTATTTGAACCGAATTACACAAAATCAAGGATATTGGGCTCAGAAAATTACAATAAACCAATTAAATCCAATAAGAAGCCCAATTTAGCAAATTTACAAAGCCCAATTTAGCAAAATTTATAAAACCCAATTCAGCAAAATTTACAAAGCCCAGACCGCCAACCCATTAACAATTAGGGTTTGACGGCGGCGACGGCGGTTTGATGTCTCCGTCTGATGAGCCTTTCTTGAAAATCATCCATGGAACCTCAAGGTTGTTGTTTCGATCTCTATTGAGGAGCCACATGTCCCAAACCCTAACCATCGTGATAAAAGCAACAAAAAAAGTTATTGTTAGTGAAGAGAAATCAAAGATGGTTTTTAATCATTCTAATCTCCATAATAAATAATGAAAAGAGAAAAAGTGAGAACAAATACCGGAATAGATCCGTCCGTTTTGTGATATCTCCGGCGGAACAAATGGAGAATCTGATGAAGTTAAGTGATGAAGGATTCACATGTAAAATCGGATTAGTGATGTTGGGGCCGCAAATAGAAGAGAGGAAAGAAGGTCAAAGAAACTAAGGGAATAAAGAAGAGGAGAAAAGAAGGTATCACGTTAGAAGGTTTTTTTGGTTTTTATAGGGTGTCTCTTTTAACCGAGAAAACCGTACGGTTAACCTCTGCCGAACCGAACCGAACCATGAACCGATCCCCAATTATAATTCTGCCGATCGGTTATCGTCTAAGAATAAAGGTGAAACCGAAACCGAAAAATTCGGTTCGGTCGGTTCGGTTTACTTTGGTTCAAACCGAACGCCCAGGGCTAAAATTTTTATCTAGAGGTCATATGTTCTATTTTAATATCTACGTCATATGTTATATTGATACATATTTGTCACAACTGTATTAAGAGGCTGATCTATGTCAGTACATTCTTGGTTGTTCTTTAAACTTAATTATCTCTAATTTCAGTTTTTTCTTTTAATTTTCAAACAAAAAATGAGGACACAAGTTCAAAATACCAATAAAGATTATATACCACTAGATCAGCTAAACAAAAAAAGGTCCTTATCGTCGAACGGTAGAAGAAAGTGGAAAACGAGAAATTATAAGAAAACAATGAGCTTACATGAATAAATTTTCTCTTACTTGATGAAAAAGTTTTTTTTTTCCTTAAACCTAAATATCATCCTATTTATTTATCTAAATTTTAATTTATTTCAAAACAGAACAATACTATTCAAGGCTTTGTACATCATTCTCTATTTGAAAAGTTTAGTGCTCAATTATGTGAAGGAAATCTTATCGAAATTTGCAACTTTAATGTGCAAGATTGCAATAAGAACTACAAAGTCTTCGATCATAAATTTCAGATGATATTAACAAAGAGAACGACAATCGCATCTGTGTATCATGTATATTTATGAATACAATAACGAAATATAGCACACTATTAGATGATTTTAATACTTTCTTTCATACATTTGGATTAATGTGTTCATAGAGACATTTCGTAGGTAGTGTTAAAGAACATATTTCAACATCAAAAATAATTGGATGGAAAAAAAATTTAGTAGAAAGTAAATAGTAAATTTAATAATAGATGTAAATAAGATCATGATTTAACATGTTGTTTGTATTTAATATATTTTCTAAGAAAGTTGTTAAATTATCTTTGGCGAGAATGAAAAACTACGTGAAGACAAAAGAGAAGTAGCTTTCCTTACAGACTGCTCCGATCTGGTGAAGATGGTGTCTTCCCCGCAAGAGTGGCCAGCGTTCACGACTTACTTGGAGGCGATTCAGAGCGACAAAGAAGAGTTTGATTTTTTCTCTTTATCGCTAATTTCCCGAAATTTGAATGTGAAAGCGGATAAACTGGCACGAAATGTTCGTACCTTACTGCATCTTTCTACTTATGTAAACAATATTCCTACACATTGGCTAATTTGAGCCAATCTAATAAAGCTGTTGACAAAAAAAAAAGAAAAACTGCGTTTTGGCAATAATAATAATGATAAATAATTGACAATAATTTGGTGTTTGATAATTGAAATTTACTAGACTGTTATAATAAACCTTACAATAAATTTAAAGTATAGAAACGTAAATTATTGTATTAAGGCAAAAGAATGAAAATATAACTAATTTTTCGCTAACCAAATTTAATTTTAATTTAATATATTTTTTTAATTTGATTTTAATTAAAAAAATTAAAATGGACGGTTCCTAATCTAGTTTATTATAAATTTTGACCCCAATACAAATTAATGTTGCAACATGAAAGAAAAATAGTCCAAATATTTGAAAGTTGGATTCTCACTAAAATTTTAGCCCATAATTTTCCTCAAATAAAAGAACTACTCACCTAATATTATTTCAGTTTTTACAAAACACCAGATAAAAAATATCAAAATTTTTAGTGTATTATTTTATATTAATTTTTTTTTTTGACCCCCATAACATAAATTTCTATCTCTGCCACTGACTTCAACTTTCAATTAATAAGATAGATCATTGTGATTGGATGCTAATAATTTTATGTGTGGATATATAGATAGATTTTAATAAATGTATAAATAGAATATAAACAAATTTGTGAGATTAATATGAATTATTTTATGTATTCCAATAACAAAATTTATATACATGTTGCTTCAACATTTAGTCATATTTTTCGTATCTATAAATATTTCTAATATAAAATTGAGAAATTGTTAATAATACCCATTTTGAGATACCCCTTTTCAAAAATACCCCTTTTGAGAGTCCATTTTCAAGTTTGCCCTCTTTTAATTTTAATGACCATTTTACCCTTATTTGAAGCAAAATTAGGTCCACAAAATACAAAATATTTGTTGGCGAGAAAAGTGATCCCGCAAATTTTTGGCGGAAAACGTGATCCCGCAATTTTCTCGCCAAAATTTTTTTTTTTGCGGGAAAAGTGATTCCGCAATTTATATGGCGAAATGTTTTTGGTGGGAAAATTTACAAGTTATTTTAAAGGTTTTACAGAGTATTTACAAGTGTTTTGTAAGGTTTTTACAATGTATTTTAAAAGGTTTCACAAGGTACTTATTAGGTTTTATAAGGTATTTATAACTTTTAAAACCTTATAAAAAACTTGTAAAACCTTATAACTTGTAAAACTTTTTAAAATAGCTTGTAAAATCTTATAATATCTTATAAATACCTTATAAATACGTTGTAAAACCTTTTAAAATACATTGTTAAACTTTATAAATACCCTTTTAAACCTTTAAAATACCTTGTATATTGTTCCCGCCAAAAATTATTGCGGAATCACTTTCCCGCAAAAAAAAATTTTTGGCGGGAAAATTTTTTTCGGGAACATTTTACAAGGTATTTTAAAGGTTTTACAAGTTTTTACAAAATTAAATTTTTAATTTTGAGGTGTGCACATTCTCGTGTTTTCCTTATATATTTGTGATGTCTTTTACTAAAAGAAGAGTAATTTAGTCATTTTCTACATAAAAAAGGGTATTTTTAAAAATGGATAGCTAAATGGAGCATTTTTGAAAAGGGGTATTGAAAAAGGGGCATTTTTGTGAGTCTCCTTATAAAATTCATAAATCTTTAAAATAACAATAACTTAGATAGCTATTATGATTCAATGGCTGTTGTTATTAAAGATGAAGTACTTATAAATTTAGTGAGACTAATAACGACTGATTATTTTTTCATAAAGATTTTTTTTTAATTAATAAACTTTAAACTAAAAACTTATTTTGTGTTTGTGTATTTCGATACAAAATTTATATTTCAATTATTTCTCCATTGTTTCAATATTTTCGTTTATAAACTTAATAAGTTTTTATAAACGAAAAAATTTTCATTTTGATATTTAAAACATTTTCCAAATTTTCAAATATTTACTTTTATTTTTATATGTTGCTTTTTTTATTACAAAAATCTATAATATAGAAAATTAATCAAATCTAAAAAAAGTTAAGTAGTGAGATGGCTAACCGCGATTGGTCGTTTAAAATCCTACGTAAACAGCCCCAAAATCTTATAGCTTCGAATTTTATATACATACTAAGTTATAACCCCCGCGTAGCGGGGGGTTTACTTTTATTGATTATTTAAATATATTTTTGGACTTATTAATCAATTAATTACAATAATTTTTCATTTTTTACATTCTTTTTAGCATAAATGTTGTTTTATTTATATTTTTAGTATCATTTATGTGGGTTAAAAATTTGTTTTAATAAAATAAACCTTATAGGATAAAATTTGGTATAAACAATATTACAAATATGAGGTGTCATATTTTACTCAAGTATATAAAAAAGACTTCAAAATTTTAGTAATTAAAATGATCTAATATCCGAACATCAAACTTGAAACATGAAAAATTACCAATCAACATTTAAATGAAAAGAAACAAATAAATAAAGTTACACATGTTACATGTATATATTGTATACCTTTTTTTTTTGATTTTTTTCACATAACCCTTGATTGATTATTCTATTCTAATTTTTATACTTATATATCCTAATTATAAAATTTCTATTTTATTGCTTCAATTTATTGTCATTCTTTCAATTTTATAAATAATTTATTTTAAATAACAAACCGAATCAAGCCAAACCAAATTAATCCAAACTGAATTAAAATGAAAAACATGAGTTTTGATTAGAGACTTGATGTTTTATTAAAATCGAAATAACCGAATCAAATTTAACTCGACATCAAACTAAAATACCGACCCCTAATTGTGAATAAGATGGGATATTGGCAAATTTGGTTAGACTAATAATGATATTATTTTATATATTCTCATAATAAAAGTTTACATTTTTCTTTTTTAAATAAATTTTTTATTAAGTTTACATTTCTCTCGTTTCCATAGATATATATATTTTTTTTTACCTTTTTATAAGTATCTTAAATTTCTATTGATATTATTTTATATATTCTAATAACAAAATTTTACATTTTTTGTTTTCCAATATGTTTTTTTTTAAGTTTAAATTTTTCTTGTTTCCATATATATATATTGTTTTTTCCTTTTTATAAGTATCTTAATATAGAAAATTATTAGAATCTAAAATTGCCAATAATCGAGATGGCTAATCGTGATTAGTCTTTTAAAATTTTGTGGATAGTTTCAGAAGCTTATAACTTCGACTTTTATATGGTATATAAGCTAGTGGTTTCGACTTAAGCTATGAAATTTTTATAGCTTTTAGAACTTTAAATTTATAAAATCATGGTCTCCAATAACTCCAAATTTATGAAGATTTTAGATTACTATTTACAAATACATAAATAAATAACATCAAACCTTGATAGAGTTTTGAAAAATCTTAAATTGAATAACAATAGAATCTTCATAAAATTTAAATTTTCTCCCTCATACTTGTCTTCTTATTGATGATAAAAAGATAATCAAAAATAATACGGACAATTACACAAAAAAAAATAGTCACCTGTCATCTTTAATATAATTGTCATCTTTTAAAAATTACTCATTTTCATAATATAAGTCGTTTTAGGTAAAAACACGCCGATTAAGAAGATCTATTTTTAAAAGATCAGCCAATCATAAAAAGGACTGCATAATATAAATAATC